GCCACCTAACGGGAGACTCCAGACATCAAAAGCCAACCCTGAGGACAAGCTTTCCCATGATCTTCCTATTATCAGATTACATCAGAAAGACAAGCTAACTGCTACAATCTCTAGAGCCACTATAACGCATCTTAGAGGAAAAAGCCATCAAAACCACAGCAGTCACACTCCAAATTGGCCACTAGAGGGAGCTATGCATCACCTCAAAACAGAAGAAGTTGCTTTTCTCCAAGTATTCTGAAGTTGATTTTCTCAAGTGTTCTGTAAATAGAACCATTGAGTTTCATAGCTGGTGGTGGCAAGTTACTTAAGCCTGGGGTAAGCAAAATATTTATTAAATACCTACTTGTGCTAGTCTCTGAGTTTAGGAAAATAATGCACAATATCTGTTTGCTAGTAGCCTCTTGTTTGGTAAAGGAAACAGTGCACATTTCTTGAGCATCCCAGACTCTTTGCCAGGTGCTGTGCAAGCTCTAATTTCCAAAGGTTAAGAGCTTCTCATTCAGAGCCTCCCTGGTGGCCTAGAGGTTAAGACTCAGCACTACCACCAATACGGCCGAAGCTCAATCCTCAGTTGGGGAACTAGCCCACATATGGCGCAGCAGGCCTCTCCTGTCTCGCCCGCTGCTCCCCTCAGCAGTATATTTCAATCCACCTGTTCTGCTCCCCACTCTGTCTCTGGTGAATCCTCTCACCCCCAGCACCTCTACACCCAGCTCTTCTACATAAAAAATGAAAAAAATAAAAGTAAAAATAAAAGAACTTCTCATTTATTTGGCAAAGCCAGAATGAAATCTGAAATCTCTCTGCCTCTTAAGGCTATACTCTTTCCTTTTTTTTTCATAATTACTATTTTTGTGTCTTTTTTATTTTTATTTATTTTTAGATTTATTTATTTATTTATATAAGCACTCGGTACAGTCAGAAGTGCGGGAGGGTGAGAGAATTCACCAGAGCCAGAGCGGGGAGCAGAACAGGCAGAGTGACGAAATACACTGCTGAGGGGAGCAGCGGGAGGCAGGAGAGGTCTGCGCGCCATGTGGGACCCTCACCCGGCATCTGGGGATCGAACTGGCACTGCTGAGGCTGCAGGCAGCCTTGCAACCCGGCGCTCAACCACTGTGCCACCGGGGAGGATAAGGCTATACTCTTTCCATAACACCATCCAATCCCTCTCACATCCTTCCCAAGCAAAATGAGAGGCTCATGCATTGGGCTGGGTGTGAAGCAGGGCCACCAGAAACACGTGAGACAGACTTAACTCCGGGGGACGTCCCGAAGGGCATCACAGTGGAGGTGTTTTTTTGGTTGTTGTTGTTTTGTTTTTAACATCAGTCAGTTGGGCTTGAGGGGAAAGGCACTGCTGGGAGACAGCACAGAGCTTTGTCATTGGAAACAGTCTGGGCAAGGAAAGGCAGGGAGGCTAGGACAGCGGGATGTGGAATAGGCAAGTGGCGAAGAGGCCAGGAAAGACAGGGAAGGTAAGGGAGGCAAAGACCATAAAGAACCTGCTACATTCACTTAAGAAGTTGAGGCATGTTCCCACAGGCAATGGAAAGCATTCAGAGGTTTTAGAGAAATAAATTTCTGATGTTAAATTTAAATGGTCATTTTTTTCCCCAGGTAGGGGTACATATCAACATTTTGGAAGATTATACAACTCAGTGCCTCCCATAAAAAGGAAAAAATAATCATCTTCTCAAACATACGGGTGCTAAGTCTGTCCCTTTAATTTTATTCTGTGCCATATGGCACCCTTTAATTTTATTCAGTTGATGGATTGACTTGACAGATCAAAACTTAGTAAGAGATATCTTCATCTGTGATTTTAATTTCTGTTCCACTAACTCTAGTCAAAGTCGAATTTATCAACCTAATAAAAGGAAATGACAGGTCAAGTGACAACTTGTAGGTATTTAGACATGCCTGGTATATACTACGTGCACACACACACACACACACACACCCATGGCATCAGGTGCTCAGCTAAATTCCATAGGTGCACTTACACACATATTCCATGAAGACAATGAACTAGAAACATGAAAAAATAGCTGCATACCAAGTTGAGGTCCAATGTCATTTTAAAAACAAATGTCACAGGTTTTCAAAAACTAGGATTTACTTCTACAGTGGACTTTCTAAATAAACTTGCTACCAATTTTTATATGCACTTTCCTCTGAGCGCCACCTTCTGATGTATGTATTACTCATACATCAAGGCTGTTCCCACTCTGTCAAACAAACAACTGGATGAAAGCTTGAATCATTTCACTGTTTCCAAGAACTGAGGTGTTTGAGTTAATAAGACATCTAGGTCTTGTCTGAAACTCTGGGTCTTTATCAGATACTTGTCATTAATCAGATATTACCTCCAAGAGAAATTGAATCACAGAGGTTCAAAATCCTATGATTGCAATGCTTCCAGGCTTAGGGAGGTTAAATGATACAGAGCTCACATACGGCAGAGCAGGGTTTAAATTCTGTCTGTCTGGTAGCTCAGTCTGTTTTCTTTTCACTACATCAATTGCTTCAGCAATAAAACTTACTCAGCCAGTTATGAAGTACAGAATGAGAATGAATCATCAGTCTTTCACTATCTATAACCTAGCCATATTTATAAGAGGAAAAAGAAATGGGTACAAAAATAGTAAGTAACTTGCAGTGAACTCAGCATGTAAAGGCAAACTGCTAACTTGGCCTCAAAGCAAAAACTTGCAAGTATTTCCATAGAGTAGGGTCATGTTTAGCCAGTTTTCTAGCACATCACAACTAGCAGGATCATTAAATGACATTTGGGCTGTCTCTCCTCATTCTGAAGGTTATTTTCTACATTAAAAGGAACAGGGGAGAAAAAACAGAAATGGATTCTCCAATTTCAATAAATGGGTTTCTTGCTTACATTTCTACAGTTTTATCTACACTTGCTCTAAGCACTATCTCACTTGCTAACAAGGTAAGTTTTCCAAAGCTAGGATTAGAATGTAAACATCTAGGCTTTGCAGCAGGGGTAACAGCTCTGGATTGAGTAACTAAAGAAACCAGAAACAACTCAAGTATTTAGTTTAGAGTGTTTCCATGTCTCCACCTTGTGGAAGTTGTCAATACTACAGCAACATAAATAAACTGACCAGCCACTGAGGATTAAAAAATGGACTGGACAATAAAATAAACTCTGTAGTACAGGATGCACTAAAAAAAAAAATCTTAAAATGACCAAGAAATGTTTGGCCTTTGGAAATTGATAATGAAAATGGAGTGGAATCTGATCACGATAACTTCGAGACCATGCTGGACACCAAAAGTCTTCTAAATAATAAAAAGATTTGGTTACATGCAATTTAATTTTAGTAATAGTTGTACATTGTTTTTGATGTTTATGCAAAACTAGAAACACAAATGATGCTCTAAGCTAATCAGGTCATTGTAAATTTATTAACTTTCCCAGCCAATCCGTACAGCAGTAATGTATTTATAAGGGTTTGGTGGCAACTACAGTATAAGATTCTACTATCCAAGATGGTTTTAAAAGTGACAGGTGGAAGGCCAAATCACCTTACGTATAAAGTTTTAATTAAATAAAAGAACATTTCTAATCAGATAGGTAAAGCAAAGCAAGAGTAAATTGGTTTTGAAATAAACTCCAGTTCTGATATTTCCAAGCAGCAACAAAATGTTGAGTAAGGTGGTAAGATATGGTTGTTAAGGAGCAGGGCTCTGGAGCTATTAGTCCTAGGCGTTGCTTCTTACTGTTCTAGGACTTTGGGTAAGTTATGTAACCTTCCTGGGCCTCAGTTTACTCATCCATAAAATGCAGACTATGATATCATCTTCTTCAAAGAGTTTTTGTGAAAATAAAACAACTGTTTTTGTATAGTAAAGAACCAAGCATGATGTAGGAACACATAGTAGGAACAGTCAATATTATTAAAGTTAAGAAAATGCTGACCCATGTGTGGGGTTCCAAATCACTGTGTTCATGGAAATGAGCGGCATGATTATTATGGCCAGGTTTTATCATGCCTAATTTTGATTGCTAGAATGTTAGAAGAGGAAAAGATCTTGGAGAATTTCTGGGCATGTCAGGTTAACAGATGAAGACATCTCAGGCAGTGACTTTTAGGTCACACCATGATTCAGAAGAGGAGTTAAAAACAAGAAGCCAGCCTCTTGTTACATATAATCACAGCAGGTCTGAGACATCAACCCCTTCAACTAGTGTGAACAAGCAGAGAAATGGGGAGGGTGGGTTTGTTCCTCATGCCCAGTCATATTCACTGGTTCAGCAATCTCTAAAAGCTCCCAATATGCACAATGCTCTGGTGTTTTAGCAGTAAACAAGTCAGGCAATGTTCATGGCTTCCTGGCACTTGTTGCAAGCAAAAGGGGCAAGGGAGACAATAAATGTGAAGCCATAATCAGGATAATTTCTAATCGGTATAGCTCTCAAGGGTTAGCTAATACAAGACAGGGTGATGGGAGGACAGGAATGACCAGGAGCTCAAGAGAGGAGGAAATGGTCAGGAAAGGTCCCACAAAGAGGCTTCCACTGAATATCAAGAAGGAACCAGCCATGCAAAGATCTGGGTAATAGAACCCAGTCGAGAAACAGAAAGTGCCAAGGCCCAGGGGCAGGAAAGCGCTCCAAGGGGCTGAGAAACAGAATGATCACATGCAGCAGAGGAAGCAAGACGAGTAGAGAGCTATGAGAAGGGAGAAGCAAGTAAAGCCACATCCCCAGGGGCCAGGTAGGCCATGCTAAGAGTCTGCAATCCATCCTAAGTGATATGTTTGGTTTGTGGGGTTAACAACATGATTTGTTTCCAAGTGTCCCTCCAGCAGCCAGTGGGGCCTTGCGACAGCCACCCAGCAAGTTAGTGGCTACACCTGGTCTGTGGCTCCCAAGACATTGTAGAGCTGAGCCCCTCCACGCATGCACACATGTGAAGGGGAAACCTGGTGCCAAAGCTCTGCGAAGAGCTAGAATTCCAGGCACTTACCCGCTTGTGATGTCATCTGTCCGGATGTTCTTGCTCAGAACGTCCCCGTCGCTCATGTAGCCAGGGGCATCCATGCTGATGCTTTCCAGATCCATCTCATCCCCTGTCTTGTCTGAGACATCTACGTGGCAGACGCTGTTGCCCCTGGAGGCCAGCTGCCTCCTCAGTGGGGCCGAATACACGTAGCGGCCTGACTCAGTGTTGATGAAGCGGCTGGCGTTGGCGCGTGGCGGGTACCCGTTGCCCAGAGACGGGGCATCTCCCGCTTGGAGCCGAGGGCTGGACTGGCCAAGTCTCCAGGACAGAGGAGTGGGCCTTCCGGTCAGGCTGAGGATACTGCGCCCGCTGATCTCCGTGGTGACATTGGTGTCAAATGTTGTTTCCAATGTGCTAAATCATCAAAGCAACCTTGAGTTAGACCCCAGTGTGCCTGGTCCTGGCTTATAGCTCTTAATTGTTTTTAGAATTATGAAGTATTTCCCTTTCACAAGTTATGATCAAACCACAGGGTCCCATGTGCCACCCAGGGTATTTCCTGTTAAAAACAAAAAGAGGGGATAAATAAGCCAGGGTTGTAATGTACAGATGACGACACAGCTGACATCGCTCCAGCATGTGTAGGAAAGTGTTGAGACAGAGTCCATCCTTCGGGGTCTAATCAGGAGAAAAATTTTTCCTTTTTTCTTCTGATTGTATCTACAAGAAGATGAATATCCACTGTACCCGTTGTATCCACTGCATAGAAGATGTAAATCAAACCATCAGGCCATATGCCTTGAGTGTATACAGTGATGGATGTTAATTATTTCTCAATAAAACTGGGGGGCATGAGGGGGCGGGAATCGAGCACCACTATCTAACTTTCTGAAAAGCCCCGGGAGACCTAGCCCCCTAAATCAAGGAACAAGACACCACTAGTGATCATTCTAATCAAATGACCTTAACTATTGGGATCTTCTTCCCAAACCAGAAAGACATAGAAAATTCTGAACTGGTGACCACGAGTCACAGAGGAGCTACCTGCCAGATTGTTCTCAAAAGCAACCTCCCTGCAGCTCCCCTTTTCTAGGGGCAGAATGCATCATCCACTCCAGAGCTCCTGACATCACATTTCACCTCCTTGCTCCTTCCTGACCAAGCACACAGGCAGAACCCTGGTTTTTAACTCTCTAAAGTCCATGTCCCAAACTTTGCTCTTCCCATGTAACAACTTCATTCAAGATAAAAAGTGAAGCTGGGAAGTTGGGGGGCAAAAAGCCCAAGAGGAATAGTAAATGCCTAGGCTTGAGATCCATAATAAACCAATTACATGGGTCTGAACATGTAGAGACTGAACTTGTCCCCAGTCATCAGGAAGACTCTTTTGCTGTCCACTGTTCTGGCTGGGCAGGTCCTTGTGGCACAGGGAAGAGCCCATCTGCACCTCTTTGGAGCTGCCCTGGGGTTTCTTAACTGAGCTAAGTGTTTCCTACAGAAGAAACCATAGACACAGTTCCCTGTCATGATTGCCACCCTACTTCAAGCCAAGAAATTCATCAAACTGCTGTAACCCACATCAAGTC